AATTCTTGCTAACATTTTCGAATGCATTCTATGCCCGACTTTCATTGTCATTTAAAGTTTGCCTGAAATTCGCATCTTTAAAAAATCGCCTAATTTGGGAGCAACAAAAATTCTTGGAAACTTAGAAATTCGTGGAACTTTGTATTTTAAATACTTGAAAACATATCCTCCTCTATTCAGTCCCATTCATAAAAAGCAACAGTATTATGTATATCCTGACTGTAGTCCTGTCAACAACAACACCACTTTTAAGTTAGCACATATGTTCCATTTGTGATCTTCGTACTTTATACATCTGAGTATTATCTGCAGATTGTCATAAGTTTCTTTCGTATTTACTGAATAACCTAAAGGAATTGATGGATGCTCATTTCCATTAAAAAGTAAAACCGCTTTAAGGGCCAATTTCACCAACATTAATATTATGGACCAATGGGAAAATACCTTATCGAAATTCAATTTGACGGAAGCTGTCAAAGGTCTCTGAATATTAGTGATTTCTATTGAAATATTGAATAAAATCCTGAAAATTCGACTGTATTATAAACAAGACCACTTTTTGATTCCAACATGATGCTTTTGCACAGAAAAAACAGGACATCTTTCATGTATTTTGATATATGTTATAGGTTTACATTTAATAATCCGTTATCCCCCTCAGCGAATGGGAATGCGGCAAATAATAGGTCGATTTTCTAGCTGTTAAATTTGGCAGCAGATTTGGACGTTTCAATATACTATATTTCAATATACTGAAAGTTATCATTACATACCTGTTGAATAGTGTGGATTTGTCTGTATTTTGCAAGAAAATAGAATTTAAAATACATTCCATCCAATTCCTCATCTTCCTTTACGTCATAATAGTAATCATTTATTAATTTATGGGATAATGAATTTCATCAAAGCAATAAAAACATTATGTCCTCTCCATCCTAAAACACAGATAATATGTCTAAGACGTATCAATCCCTACATCTCCCTGATGCATAATGCAATTACTATGGACATAGACAAAACATTATGAAAATGTTTCAAGTCCAAAAATCAAAAAAACTAGTAATGTTTATTGTTTGTCTATTTTTCTTTTTTAACTGGCGGGGATATCTATCTAACACTCGCAGGGTTGCCAAGTCTAACGTCGATCACGTCCCGTGGTGGAGGGTGCGAAATGAATCTTTTACATTTGCTGGTTTTGAATTATTTTCGTGAAAATTTACTAGGTATCATGATTATAAGCATCTTTGGTAGATTATTCGATCCGGAATGGGAAAGATCTCCTATTTATGAAAATATTTTTGGTATCATCTAACCGTTGCAATCAGTGCACAAACACTGTGACATATGATTTATAGCATAACCCGCTGCCCTATCAATACAAATTTAACATACAGGTCGCCTAGCCATGGGGATGCAGCGGTCGGAATGAATATCACTGCAGCAGCTGATGATTTGGGCATGTCTGGTAACAACGTATGAAGTGAAACTCGCTAACTTCACAAATTTGAAGATTTAGTACAATTTTTTTGAAAATGATGAAAGATATGTCTGATTTGGCAGGGTAATGTCGAAGCCAAATGGCAGTCACTCTTTCTGACACAGTCCGGATCGAAAGATGACGATACTCGTGAAATGTATTGATACTTCTAAATATAGGATCGTATCTAACATCCCTACTGTCAAGATGTATAACCCAAGAGCATATATGTTTTGTGACTGGTACCAAGAGTTGACAGATCCGACACATGTGTCACTCCTTGAAATGCAATAATCAGCTGTATTCAAATAATGTCTAATATAAATATAACCTAGAATGTGTACTCGTGAAAAAAGAAAAATATGGCAAATTTGTAGTTTTTTGCAGGTTTTAGGTTTGATGGTAGCTTTAAGGCGTATATTTGGCAATTTATTAATCGCTGTGAATATAGTGTGGATGTTTGTTCAGTTCCTGAACAACGAAAAATATTCAACTTTATGGATGTATGGATATCAAAAAACCTGAATGGTTTGTGGGAATATCAATTTAAAGTGCCATAATGGTTCTGATGAACGGCAAGTAAATGAATGAATGTTTGGAAACGAGCAATATCTTTTGGTAGAGCCTGTCATCAAGTAGGTGCTTAATGGCTATCTGCAAGAGGTTTATAGGAAAAAAATTCCAGTATCACATATCAATTGAAGAAAATAATATAAACATGAATAAAAAATCAACAATAGAAATTAAAACATGAATTTAATTCAAAAATCAAACATTTCTTAAAATTTGGACTGAATTATATGTAATTTCTTAATATTCAATAAGCTGGTGATGTTTCAATGACAAGTTGTCATCTCATACTTTGACAGTATTTTGTTTTCAACATTTCATAGCTATTGGTTGCTAAAATTTGTTGATTGGAACTTGAAGCTCATTCGCTGTATCTGACGGTCTGTTACCCTATAGGTGGAGAATAACGGACTGTTGTTGGTGAAATTGGGCACCTTCCACAGCAAAAAAAAAAATTGTGAGAGTAGATTGCCTTGCTCTTCCAACAAATCTGAGGCTAATATAAACATTTGGGGTCAGTTTTATATATTAGTATAAGTCCAAATGTTACAAAACACAAGATATTTTTATAGGGAGAATTCTTTTGTTGAACAGTGTAATTGGTTCTTGAGGGTTGTAGTAGAGGGTATATCTCAATTTTCTGATGTTCGTATATGTATAGAACTTAGATACACCTCTTTGCTTCTGCTCTCTGGTTTCCCCGACGGGCGTGACCTTGATTATAAGTCCTCCTTTAGAGTATGCGGGAGGGGCTACCTTGCCAGATAGGACGGTACTACAGGTAGGGCAGGAAAAAAGTGTCTGTGGACTAATTGTATGAACCTGTTTGACTGTCAAGCTTGTAACTGACATTTTTATCAGTGTCTAGCTTGTCCTAAACATAATCCTGATGACGGCGTTGCGTGGGAAGGGCAGAGTCAACCAACTTGACGCCATTTTTTCAAGTAGGGTAGACCGGGGACAGTTGTACCAGGGGTCAATTGTAACATTTCAAATATGCCCTAGAGTGAGACCGCTATATAAACTTCGCTCGGATGCGCGCGTCACCAAACAACTGCGGTTCTGATTTCAGTGTGCCGGCGGCCATCGCTGAGAGCATTTGTATCTTAAGTGTATTTGTTCGTTTCCGCACGTCAGAAGTAAGTTTTTATTTTTTTTTTCAAATGTTCGTAGTTCTTTTTTACTGCATAATATGCCTGATGTTTTTTCTCAATTAGATTATGGGTAGTGTTAACTACTTTCTGTAAGAGTTACACAAAAAACACAGCAGTGCATATTACAGAAAAATCCATTTTTGTTTTAAAAAGATAGTTGGGGTCAATTGTAACAAATCGTCAGGGGACGATTGTACCGCTACAATTGACCCCTGATTTGTATTTGTTTCGAAGAGGGTTTTCTTTTTATTTTAGATGCCACGGAAAAGGATTAATAAAACGGAAAGAGCCTCACGTGATCTATCTTTATATGAATCTGCATATGATGTGGTACTGTCTGGAACGTCAATTCGAGCAGCTGCAGCCCAATTTGGTCTGTGCCATGTGTCCCTATTACGTTATAAGAAGAAAAGAGAAAACTCAGTCGATTGCATTACAAAAGTTAGTATGGGATACAAGCCCGCTAATCGTGTTTTTTCAAATGAACAAGAAAACGAAATGGTTAAATATATCAAGAAAGCAGCAGATATTTATCAAGGTTTGTCGCCCAAGGATATAAGAAAATTGGCACTGCAATTAGCAACAAAATATAATTTAAAAATGCCCGAAAAATGGACTGAAAGTGGCTTAGCCGGTGAAGACTGGTTTTCTGGTTTCATGTGCAGGCATAAAGATTTATCTATAAGAACACCACAGGCAACAAGTCTCTCAAGGGCTACTAGCTTTAATCCTACCAATGTTGCCGCTTTCTTCTATAATCTGGCCAAAGTTATGGACCGTGAAAAGTTTGAAGCGAAAGATATTTATAACGCCGATGAGACCGGGATTACTACAGTCCAGAAGCCAAACAGAATTGTAGCTAAAACTGGAACTAAGCAAGTTGGTGCTATCACATCGGCAGAACGTGGCACTCTGGTTACGCTGACTGTTGCCGTTAATGCGCTAGGGAACTCTATCCCAGTTATGTTTGTTTTCCCAAGATTAAGATATCAAGACCATTTTGTTCGGGATGGTCCTCAAGGTTGCGTTGGAGCCGGTAATGGGTCTGGATGGATGCAAGAAAAAGAATTCATAGTATTTTTGAAGCATTTTCAACATCATACCAATTCATCTCAATTCCATAAAGTTTTGCTACTACTAGACAACCATTCATCGCACATCACCATCGAAGCATTGGATTTCTGTAGAACGAATGGTATCGTCATGCTTTCGTTCCCTCCACATTGCTCACATAAATTGCAGCCCCTAGACCGCTGTGTATATGGGCCACTCAAGAAAGCTATAAATTCTAGTTGTGATGCGTGGATTCGAAATCATCCAGGGAAACCTATGACGATATATGATATCCCAGGGATCACTGCAACAGCTATTCCTCTGGCACTAACACAGAGTAACATTCAGGCTGGTTTTAGATGTACAGGTATTTTTCCCTTCAATAGAGATATATTTTCTGAAACAGATTTTGGTCCATCATTTGTTACTGATAGACCCTTACAGCCATCAGAAAACCAAGAACTGACTGTTAATAATGAGCAAACAGCTAACAGCAAGCCTCCTGCTGAGCTAGAAGGTGTCAATACAGGTATCCCCTGTTTAATTGATTCAGATAGTGACGAAAATATTCCGTTGTCTGCGTTTCGTTTAAAGGAAGGAAGAGCAGATGCGATCCTTATCAGGACACCTGCAAAACTTTTACAAGTTCATGACGAAGCCACTCCAACTTCGTCAGAATTCGTAAAAGTTGTATTTTCCCCAGAAAACGTTAGACCATTTCCAAAGCTCCACCAAGAAAAGGTACAATGAAAGGAAGGAAAAAAAGAAAGTCCGCAATTTATACAGACACCCCAGAGAAAATAGAAATAGAGAAAGAAGTTGAGGAAAGAGAAAAAAAGCGAGTAAAAAGAAACTTAGGCAGTCAGGGAAATAGACCAAATAATAAAGTTCCTAGAAAGAAAAAAACTGGATCGGCAGAAAGCAGTGAAGACGAAAATGAATATTTTTGCCTAGTTTGCGTCGAACCTTATGGGAATAGCAGAAAGGGCGAGACATGGATCCAGTGCACACAGTGCAAGATGTGGTCACACGAAGAGTGTGTAGCACAAAACTTGTTCTATGTTTGTCACAATTGTGAGTCAGAGTAATTGTCTGAGTTGGGTATCTCTTAAAGAAACAAGATTGATTTTCATATTTTTTTATTTTGCGTTTACCGTTTTTAAGCTTTTATTGTTCTTAGCTTGAATAAAGAGTTCAAGTTTTTGTTTGCCGACATCCCTTTATTATTAGATATAGGTATTTGTGAATTACAAAATCCAAAATATTGTTAGTTAAATATTTGTTTTTTAAAGATTTTTCTTGTGTATTTGCTCATTTATTTGTGACAATACGAATGCTCATGTTTTATGCCAAAGTATTTGTACAAATTATATATTTGCCGAGTTGGTTTACTGCGGTAATGTTTAAATTTGATCAATAAAACTAGTTAAAATATATTAAATATTGATGTTACAATTGACCCCCTTAGGTGGTACAATTGACCCAGGGGCTGGGTCAATTGTACCATTTTACATTATTTTTTAAATGTTAAATAACTTCTAAACGTATTATGTTTCATGCATTACAAAAACCGCATTTTGTAGACTATTAGTTACGTTACTTTCAGCCATACCTTGCTGACTGGTAGACATTATAATTTGAGAACATGCGAACAATATAGGCAAAATGGTACAATTGTCCCCGGTCTCCCCTACAGTTATTACTTGAAAGACGAATTTAAACTTTTGGTGAATATCCGACTTGCTCCGTGCGTATGCTAAACTACAAAAGGTGGGTTAATTTATTGTGATTTTAAATAATTTTCATGTTTATACACGTCGTTTTTTTTATATTTGAATATTATTTATTCATGTTTACAATCCTCGTCATTGTGACTTATCCTATATCACCTTGTGATCTACAGGATCAATGCATTATTATTATTATCAGATTGTCGAAACCTTGTTATCGCCTCAGTGGAAAATTTCTGTCCTTTGATAGTCCACTGAGCTAACTGGCAGCGCCACTGTATTGAAAAGGCTTAAAAAAGAACGACGATTGTCTCTTTCTACTTGGATCTGCTGAGTCACGGTACGTGAGATTACGAGCAGGAAAAAGGCGAACGGGGGTAAAAATAGCGTCTCCCATGCTTTTTAACTGAACACATTTTTTGTATCATCTGTATGTAGGGCAAGGAATTTATCACTATGAATCTTTGTTGGAGTTATAAGAATGAAATATTGATTTTAGCCGCATTTAGTCGAAAGTGGATCGCAAATATTGAGTCAGCGTATATGTTAGTAACAGAAAACTCATACGAGGTCTGTAAATTGAGTAATGAGACTGGCAACACTGGAGGCGCCGAACTTAGAGGAGAGACAGGCGAACATGCGATCCGCCTTCAGTACAAGTTTGAACTCGTTGAGTCATTTGGTTATCCGTAGAAATTTGGCGAAACAGTTTTCCCTATTGTGTTCTAAAAATAAGTGAATCATCTTTGAGCAACGGTATAAACGAGTTTTTGGCCAGTAAAAACATTCCTGTGGCTGCACAGCCTCCTTTTCCGCCTGATTTGAGTCCTTGTGACTTTTTTCTCTTACCGAATCACCTCAAGGGAACTCATTTCAGGACAGTTGAAAACATTCAAACCGCTGTAACCGATCAGCTGAATGCTATCCAGTATCCGGAGTTCAGCACTGCTATGAGGAGTGGAAAAACCATCCCCAGCGCTGTGTGACTTCAGAAGGAAGTTATTCTGAGGGTAACAATATAAAATTGTAATTATACTTTAATGAAAAAATCAGTCTCATCACTTAATTTACAGACCACGTATGCTGAACTTTTCCGTTTGATTCGAAGAGAGTACACGCTATGAGCGCCTCCTATGGAGATACTTTGCAAGGGCCTAACGCAAAAATAGATTGTTGTAGCCAAATCAGGCAATCTAAAAAAATTTCTTGATTTATAATGGGAAGTCCTTCCTCACCCAAATCGTTTGAAACATTAGATAGGTCACTTCTGATTCTTCGAATATAGGTTTTTTTAGTTAAACCAGGTGGTTTATAACGAATTTTTTTATTCAAAATCGCATAATTGTTCACTAGTTTGAGAGATCTTAGAAGAAATAAACTACATATATTGTAAAATCGTCCAGTTGGTCAATTTAGACCCGCGGGTCAACTGACTGGCCCGTAAAATTATAGCAAAATTAGGCATTATTCAAACAAAGTTTACCAATTAACGCTTGATTGATGAGCTCGATAACTCATTTATTAGATATTAACAATATCAAATCACAATTTTCCTATTCCCTTTATAATATAGGAACTAAGCGACATAGAAAACGGAACACCCAGTAATAATGAATTTATTACAAATGTGTTTGTTCTAGGTATATGTTTAGGTTAGGGCATCAAGCGATTTTCAGCGGTATAAAAATGTTTTCTGTGATATTGTCTGTCCGTACAAAAATGTAGCTGAGCGATATTTGTGTTTTGTAGCTACAATTGGCATTAGATCATTGTGGAAAGCTAATTAAATCTGTTCATTATGCCTAGATTGAGAAGATGTCTAATTTTTCAACAGCTCGGCGAATAGTGGGCTGGTGTTAAGCTGGTTGGTCTTGGGCGATGACATCAAGCCAGTTTATTCGGTGAATTCACTATCTAATAGTAAACTCGTCTAGTGTAATCATGTTCACTAGCTAAATAGCAGATTGTAAACTGTCTACGAGAAAAGTTGAAAGCCCGACTTTACTCGCTACTAGTTGACTGTGAATAAAGAAAATGACAGTTTTAAGACTGTTAGGTTATTTTTATTCATCGTTTTGGTTTTTTGCATTAAACCCACATTAAACAGATACCAGACAATGGAGGATGGTAAAAAACTGATAATATTATGACCCAGAGTCACAACGTACATTTTAGATGTTCCTGGATAATAGTGATCACAAGAGAGTGCAAGAATGAAGGTTCATAGCGGCTTGTAGTTGGCTTCGTCACTTTGAAAATGATTTTGAATGTCTACACTAAAATACGAATTTGACACATGTATCCAGAAGCTTTACAATAAAAATGCAGACCTCTGACATGTTTCGTCATCATTCTAAAAGCACCATCATGTATCAATTGGATAGTCTGACAATGCGTCTAAAAATAAAGGCAAAATGTGTTTACATTTTCATTGTTTGGCAGTGTGATACAAATTGTCAACGTTAAAGCAAAACATAAAAAAACAGGTTAAGTTTTTATCGTCGTGTTCCCGTGCACATTTGCTAGAGTAGTTCGGGTGCATACAACTCTCAATTCAAAATAACTGGAAAGCGGCTCAGGAGATGCTGGAACCACATGTTTTGCCTTATATATTGACGCTCATCAAGACAATATGTTGTCTTGTCCTCTAGATCTCCCGATCTTTCATCTATTGAAAATGTCTGGGACATTGTGGAAAGGATATTGATCCATTTCTTCCGCAGACTCTAGCGCCGCTTCGGCACGAGATAAAAGTAGCATGGGATGAGATATTCAAGACGACCATCTCATTAGAAGTATGCAGAGACCTGTGTCTGAGTACATAAAACATCGTGGAGTCACAACAAATTATTAATTTTTTACATTTTTTCCAACGATTGGATTTTTCTGAAATTTGGGTCACCACTTACCTAACCCTAAACGACATATATACAAAAATTGTTGTAATAAATAAATTATTACTGGCTGTTCTTTTTTCTAAGTCCCTTAGTATACATAGCAGCATTCTAAAGTTACAAACGTGGGTGAGATTGGATAGAGCTATATTTGGCTAGCGCAGTGAATGATGCATTAAATATGCAATGCATCCGGCCCCCGTCCGTTTATATAGGGCAATAATCCCCATTAGATCAGGCCGTTAGCCTATCGACAAATGGTGCATTCTTTATGAATGGCAGCTCATAATCCGATGATCGATACACTGCGTTAATATGGATTTAGCCGCATTCAGATATTACAGGCTCTGTATCAACAATAGGAATTGGATACAAAAGAAATAAATTCTTATTCCAGTATTTGTTATGTTTTCAATTTTTTCGGATTCTTGGAATAAATCAACACTCACTGACAGATTTATAATTTCTTGATTAAGAAATTTATTAGTTTCAAACCCTAAGCAGTGTAATCTTTTTTCAGAATTCATGATTGCTACTCGTGCTACTTAATGTTGGGACTCTCCTTTATATGACGTACCTTAAAAAATGAGCATTTTTTCCTAGTAACAAATACACTAAAATCTTAAGATTACCGTTAGGCTCTGGAAAATCAATCAAACCTAAACAAAACCTAATTCGGTTCTGCACCTCATCGGTTCTCCACTCGGGAAAGGCAGTCAATTCTAAAAGCCTACACCGATGCTTGGCTATGTGGAGCACATACATCTATTTGTGAATCTGTCGCAGATAACTTTGAATAATACTGGCTAGTGACAGAGCTATACTTGAAATTTCTTTTCAATGAACTGTAAGTACTTTTTCATTTATTTTGTTGTTTCACCGCACATTAGTTTTATTACTACAAACGTAGTTTGTTTTGAAAAGGAAAGCCCGAACTTTCAGGACACCCAGTATATCTTGACACGAACAGTCTGGGTTTCTTCAGTATTGCTCCAGTTGGTTTAACGCACATCTCTGTTTTGCTTTTTATGTTCTATTCTTTATTTTTATAGCGCACGTAATGTTTATTATATTTCCCTTGGGATGTGTTTTCAATAGGCAAGGATGTTTTGTCATTTACAGTTTTGCATATCTGTTGGTTGTTGTCTTTAAATCCATTTTCAACTTGTTGGAGTTTGAATTATTATATAATAATTTTTAATATGTATGCACGCTTATTGTCATCGTTTTTGCTTGTTTGTTCTGTAGTTTTCATATGCTTGTGAATTTCTCAGTGAATTTTTTTAACTGACTTCTTTTTCACTTGTCTTGTTTTGCATTCTTAAATGTATGTTTTTCACATATTTTTTTATCTTTTTACACCTTGTATGACTGGTTTTTGAGTTGCTAAAAACTTTTTGACTCTATTGTATATTGTGTGACAAAAAAATGTAAACACCTACGTCTGTTTATCCAATTTTAATA